ATGTCATTACATCAAAACTCTTTGTAAAGTACATGCGACCCTTTCCATAAAGATGGGTCCTATAGATCAACAAGCTCACAATAAGGGTGTGTGTGTGTGGGGGGGGAAATCCCAGGTGGTCTTGCCACACAGATAGCGGCAAAAGGTCACCGGGCTATTAATCACATCCCCTCCCAGCCTTCTAGGTGGATGACAGGTTATGCATCCCTTCATTGAAGGGCCGAGCCTGTGTGTTCCCCTAGTACTTTTCTGTGAGCACAGGGATTTCATGCCTCCCACACCTTCTGGGGATTGAACTCAAGTCATCCGGCTTGCTTGCCAGCACACACTTTTCCCTGCTCAGCTAGTTCACTGGCCCCTTCCATTTAAAAATATTTATTTACATATTTAGTTAGTGCATATATGTCTGTGTGTGAAAGTGGAGGCCAGGAGGAGGTCAACCAATGGGTTACTCACAGGAGTGTGGGTGAAGGGTTACTTATCTCTTTCCATTTTTTATTTTGAGACAGGGTCTTACTGAATTTCCTAGGCTGGCTTCACATTCACTCTATAGCTCAAGCAGGCTAAGAACCCATGATCAGACCTGTCTCAGCTTCTCCAGTAACTGTGATTACAGGGCTGAGTCACCGGGCCTGCTTAAATCCAGGCTTCTGAATTGAAGATTCCTAAACCAAGGCGTTTAACAGGGAAAACAGACAAACCCTCTATCACCCAACAAGAAAGATCCCAAGTTTAGTAGATAGACTTTTCTGCATTTTTTTTTCTTTTTCCTCCCATCCCATCCCACTCCACCCACCCCCACCCCTAATACAAGCTGTGAATGTTTAGCTGGCTATGGAGATCAGGCTGTGCCCTGCTCTAAGTCAGTCCACACTGTGTGATAGTGGCTTTTCAGCTAGCTAACTCCATGTACACAGCAGTAGCTGGCTTTATTGTGAATACAAACACAAAGGCAGAATGACTCTGTATTTCTTTGTGCATGTAGACTATCACTACTTGTCTAGGCACCAGCCATGACATACAGACTGATAAACATCCTATTCCTGCAAGGAGAAAGTTACCACCTGTGACCTTATCAAAGGAGACATGTAGGTACATTCAAATTTAAAATCCTAACAGAGCTGGGCAGTGGTGGTACATGCCTTTAATCCCAGTACTCGGGAGGCAGATGCAGGTAGATCTCTGTGAGTTCAAGGCCAGCCTGGTCTACAGAGTGAGCACCAGGGTTACACACAGCAAAACCCTGTCTTAAGACAAAGCAAAACACCCCCCAAAAAACAAAACAATCCAACTCCATCAGAAACATCAGGCTGAGAACTTTTTGTTGTCCTTGTTGTTGTTATTTTGAGGTAGGCTCTCACTATGCAACCTTGACTGCTCTGAAAATAGCTGGCCTCAGATTCAGAGAAACACCCCCCCCCCCCCCCCCCCCCCCCCCGCCTCCAGAGTGCTGAGACTGAAGGTGTGCACCACCATGCCCGGCCCTGCCCTTTGAGAACTCTTGAACAGAGCAGACCAATGAAGGGTGTAAAAGAACACCTAAGACTCCAGTGGTGACACAGCCGCTAACCTTTCAGTGACCAGTCATCCAATCAACAAATACATGTGTCAGGAGTCAACAGAGATTTCACTGTCCTCAAGGTTTTAGCTCATCACAATTCCCTCTGCTTAACTTGGCCCATTCAGATGGCCATGCCTGTTTGTCCATGCATATCTAGGATGGTCCTGTGTCTCTGCAGCCGGGCTCTAAGAACCTCTAGCAGCTCTCCAACTGTGTTCGCTAATATCGCATATGAAAACGTGCAATAACTCCTTGCCTTTGTATCAGCTCTCCACTTCTCCTTCCAGCAAGGCTACTTTGGACTCCGTGGCCTCTTAAATTCTTTTGTAGTCATTTTGTAACCTATGTAATACATTGAGTATGCATATATTTATGTATACACATATATTTACATGTATTATTATGTAAGGATAAGAGATCTGGAATTAATCTTAGTAATTAAGATTGGAATCGTGGGGCTCAGTTGGGTGGGGCTCAGTGCCTAGCATTCATGAATGCCTGGGTTCAATCCCCACCATTGTATAAAACAAACATGATAGTACAAGTCCATACTCCCAGAATGGAAGCTGGATCATCTGAAGTTCAAAGTTGTCTTTAGCTATGTAGTGATCAAGAGGCCAGCTCTGGCTACATGAGATCTTTCTTGTAACAGGGCCCCAGACCTTAATAGGCCCCTAGACCTTAGCACAGCTGACTTCATGACTGAAATACTGTACCAAACAGGCTGTAAAACTCAGCACATAGATACCACCACCTGCCAAAACTAAAACAAAGGCCTAATCCATCGAAGTCCATAGTTCTGGGGAAATCTCTAAATGGACTAGCCTTGCTATTTGGCTTCCGTAATAGCTCTTCTGGCTAACTGTTCTTGTTAACTGAAGTATGTCAACCCAGGACATGGTTTCTGTGTTTTAAAGCTCCCCCTGAGAAAGGCTCGGTGCTACACTGGGATCCCACACACCCAGTGTAGTTGCCAGCCAGCTAATAAAGACCTTCTTCTCCTTCTTTTGTTTTCTAGACAGGGTTTATCTTTGCTTTGGAGCCTGTAGACCAGGCTGGCCTAGAACTCACAGAGATCTACCTGCCTCTGCCTCCATAGCGCTGGGATTAAAGGCATACGCCACCACCACCTGGCTAATGAAGACTTTCTATTGTCTTAAATTAATGTCTGAGCAGTGTTCTCTGGTGGCAACCCCACAACATTCTCAATGGAAAAAAAAAATCGAGAAAAAAGGAAAAGATCAGAATAAAAGAACTTGTGGCTGGGGACTGAGAGAGCGGTGAAGGATGTTGGCTGCTCTTGCAGAGGACCCTGGTTCAGTTCCCAGCATCCACACAACAGCTCATACCTGTCTGTAACTCCAGTTCCAGGGGATCTGATATCTCCTTCTGCTCTCTGTAGACACCAGACATATGTATAGTGTATATACATACATGTAGGCAAAGAATTCATACACATATATCTTTTTGTTTGTTTTGTTTTTGGAGACAGGGTCTCTCTGTGTAGCTCTAGTGACTGTCCTGGAACTCTGTAGACCTGGTTGGCTTCAAACGCACAGACATCCACCTGCCTCTGCTTTACAAGTGAGTGCTGGGATTAAAGACATGTGCCATCATATAAATCTTAAAGAGTAAAAAATAAAAGAACCTGTGGACTGCCAGAGGAAGAGGCAAGGGGAGCTCTGTGAGTGTGAGGCCAGCCTGGTCTTCAGAGTGAGTTCCAGTACGAGCCATAGGGACCCTATCTCAAAAACCAAACAAAAACCAATTGACATAGCTTGTGAATTTATTGTTGTTCAGTACATTTTGGCATTATAGAAACACACAAGTGTGTCCACCATGTTTCTGGCATGGTATGCTCATGATAGAGACAAGAGAACAACTGAATTTTGTTATGGGAAAAAAGACTGGGAAACTGTCCTCTGAACAGAGCTGAAGAATCCAGAGTAGAGTGTGTAGGCGATCAATTATTTTTGTTTTGGGAATTTCAGTGTCCAGGTTAAATTGGCCTAAACATTTCTAACCTAAAGGAACCAATTCTATGCCAACGTTGTTAAAATAGCATCAGGAAAAAATCCACTTTTTCTAACTCTCAAGATATTTTCTAAAAAGTTGTGTGTGTGTTTGTGTGAGTGCAGGTGCCCTAAGAGACCTGAGGTGTTGAATTACCTTAGAACTGGAGTTCCAGGCAGTTTTGAGCCAACTGACATGGGTGTTGGGAATAGAACTTGTGTCTCCTGGGAGAGCCATATACACTCTTAACCAATGAGTCATTCTTTGAGGTCCAAATACACTTCTTCACATGCCAGTTTCCTGAGTTTTACTGTCCCTGAAGATTTAGGGACACAGTCTCAAGCCTAGGCATGTGGTAAGAATCCTCAGGACACATCCAGCCCTAATTAGTGTTGGAGTATGGACAAGTTGGCCTGCTCAGGAGAGGTGATGGAAGTTTCTTGAATCTTACAAAGCATACAGGTTCAGGTCAAGTACATGTTGGGAAGATTCCCATGGGAAGCACAGTTGAAAAAAGGTCACCGAGGGTCTTCTTGGCTGTCACAAGGAAGTGAGAAAGGATGGCCTCTGCTGGCCAGGCCGAGGATTGCGTCTTTTACTTTTTTTTTTTTTTTTTTTTTTTTGGTTTTTCGAGACCGGGTTTTTCTGTAGTTTTGGAGCCTGTCTTGGAACTCGTTCAGTAGACCAGGCTGGCCTCGAACTCACAGAGATCCACCTGCCTCTGCCTCCCGTGTGCTGGAAATGAAGACGTGAGCTACCACCGCCCGGCTTTTTAAGATAAGGTCAGGTTACAGACTACACAGTGATGAGAATATATGAACTTTTTTTTTTAGACGGAATATATAAAGGCTTCTCAAGGCTGAAGAGTTCTGAGAAGGCAGGGCTGCAATCACATTGACTTTTAGCGCAAACGGGAGGTTGCCCTCAGAGCAGACATATTTTTCCTGAGGTCCCTCAGAGAAACCAGAAGAGAAATAATACCTGAACATAGGTCTCACTAGTTCATGGCTGTGATTCTGGGTGACTCTAGTTCTTTTAAATAGACATTTAAGAGCTTTCGGAGGAATGAACCATTCTGAGGTCCAAAGGGGCGAATAACTGTTTCTCAATGGCGCCTTAAGCGGAAGCTTTAGGACAGCATCAGTGTCCTCTTTCCGGGATCCTTAAGGCCGTCATTTTGAATGGTAAAGCTCCGCCTACCCCGGGGCATCTCGGGAAATGTAGTTCTACTTTTACTGAGGCTGTAGGTGCGTGCTATGTAAAACTTTATTTCCCGGAAGGCTACGCGCTCTGTTATCCGAGCTAGGCGATGAGCCAAAGGGCGAAATCTTCATCTTTTATAAGTTCTCAGAAGGAAGGAGTAACGATGAACTGAGGCTTTTGGCTGCTCAGCGGGTTTCCTCTTCTGGCGGAATTGCAAGAAGAGAGCGTGGCGCCGGTCGAGCGGCCCCACTTCCGGTCGGCGGGCAAAAACTTAGGGTTCTCCTTTAACTGCGGTGGGCGGGACACGACGACGCCACCGGCGTTGCTATTGGCGGCGATTGGGGGCGCGGAAACTGAACTGGCACAACTGCCGCCGCACCTACCTCGGGTTTTTGGGGTGCCTTTGGTCCTGCTAGCCTCGCCACCCTGCCAACTCCGCCATGGCCGCTCCCAGCCCGGTAAGTCCCTGGAGAGTGGGCGCCTGGCTGGCTGGAAGCAATGGCCGCGAGAGGGGCGGGTGGCGGCGCGGGGTTCTGGGGTTGCTTCCCCATCTAAGGTTACGGGGTGGGTCTGGGCATTGACCCAGCGCCCCAAGTGCCAGGCTAAATGCTGGACCACCCGGGCGAACAAGCAAGCCCCTGCCTCTGGGATTTACATCTTAGCGAGGAAGACACCAGCAAGGCCCGACCCTTGTCGTGGCCTGGGACCAGTATGAGTCTCGTCGTCCTGTCCTCTTTTTGGTATCTACATGGAGGCGATATCCTTTCCAACCAGTGGAAGCAGTAGGCCATTAGGATGCCTGCAGCCCGACTCTGAGCCCTCTTCCAGTGCAGAAAAGGACTCCAAATTGGTCTTTTAAATAAGAATTTGCTTCCAACGTGCCTGGAGCCGATGGCTCCTGATGCACTTGGCTCTAAAGACTTGGGCAGAAACAGAACCCAGACTTTTGACTGCCAACTCGATACTCTGTTTACATTCATAACAACACACCGATTTTAGGGGAGAGGAGGCCCACATGCAGGAAACAGGGAAGAGTTCCCACAGATCAGGGTTGGACCTGACCATGCTCTTCTGCCCACTGAGCCTAGGATGGGCACTGCCTTGCCCTTATTTTTCCAAGAGGCTCAGGTGAGGACAGGAGGCAGAATGGGCACTTGCTGCTTAGTTGGAGGCCTCCTCCCTGTCCCCAACTACCACCATCTGTTAAAAGGCGTGGCCCTCAGGTGTGTTGGGGGTGGAGCTAGGCATTGGGTTTCACCTTTGTTTTGTGTGCAGGTTTGTGGAATAGCAGTGGCTTTGCTATGCCTTAGGAATGTCCTTTCCCAAACTGGGTTCCTTGGAGCTCCTACAATGGTTTACATTTTTGATGTTTGAGGTGGAGGGAGAGGACTTACTATGGCTGGGGTATAACTCCTGAAGTCTTGTATTTAGCCTTGGCTAGCCTGGAACTCACTGTATAGATCAGGCTGACCTAAAATTCAGAGATCCATTTGCCCTGCCTCTTGAGTGCTGGGATTAAAGGTATGGGGCACCATTTTTGGTTTATTTGTTATGGATTTATTGGTTTATATGTCTGTTCATGGGCGTGTATTTGTTGATTGTGTACCCTTCCTTGCTGTACTCATTATTCTAATATTTTTCGTGGATTCTTTAGGATTTCCTATATACAAGATGTGTGTGTGTGTGTGTGTGTGTATATGATGTATGTATGTATGTATGTATAACACTTGAGTGTTTTTAACATCTTGTAATTGTAGGAAGAGTCTTGGTCCCAGAGAAGCCCCTTCCTCAGGCTTTACCCATTTGACCTTGCTCTCTACCTCAGGAGGACCCCTCATTGGAGAGGCATTTTAAGGGCCACCGAGATGCAGTTACTTGTGTGGACTTCAGTCTCAACACGAAGCAGCTGGGTAAGAGAAGGCATCTATCTTGTCTAAGACTCTAGATTCTAAATTGAGAAGGCTGTTTGTCCTTGGGAGGATTGGTATGGCAATGCCAGGGTACAGCAAGGACATTTGGTCCTTTGAACTGCTTCTACCTGTCAGCTTTTTGAACACTGGGCTTACTAGGCTCTGTAAACTCCATTGTGCATGAGAAGAGTATACTCAGAGGTGTTAGGAGCCCTGTCAGGGTCATGCAGCCTGTTTTTATTTTTCCATTTATTGAAAAAGTTCTTTTTCAGGGCTGGAGAGATGGCTCAGCAGTTAAGAGCACTAACTGTTCTTCCAGAGGACCCAGGTTCAAGTCCTAGCATCCACATGGCAGTTTAAAACTGTTCTAGGGGATCTGATACCTTCATACTGTAAGACCTGTAGAGCGTGGACCTTCACACTCCCACTAAGGAAAGGTGACACCCCAAATCACTCACGAGAAGCTGTCTTGATGCAAATAGCATGAGGAGTTTTTATTCCAAGTGCACTGGGGTCCACAGTCATACGCCACGCAGGGGTAGAGGACTGAGGACCTTGAGGGCAGAATTGAGACAGCTTTTATAGGGTTTACATCAAAGCTAACAAGGCCAGTTTCAAAGCCAGCCTGTTATTTTCACTGGGCCTAAAAGCAAGGTCATTGGATAGTTCAAACCTTGGAATGGTTAGTAAGGTTTCCTAGGTTACAGAGATTTAGCACACAGGGGTTTTCTTTCTCAAGAACCAGCGGGCTCAGTGGCCTTGTCCTTGAGTGGCTGGGAGAATGTACTTTCAGTCAGGGAGTTCTCTATACTATTGGTAGAGGCTCTTGTTTTCTCTGTCTTTCCCTCTTTGCTATGAGTTCCATCTTTTAGTTACTAATCTTCTTTGTAAACAGGATGACCCACAACAGTTCCCAGACTGTTGTTGTGGATAACAACATTCTTCAGAAGCTAGGTGATTATGAATGATGATGATGATGATGATGATGATGATGATGATAATAATAATAATAATAATAATAATAATAATATCCTGAAACCAGTCATCGTGATCAAGTTATTTCATGTGTTTTTCTTTTTTCCTAAGTTTTGCATGCAGCTAGGGTGATTTTTAAATACATGCCGATGGACTTTTTCTAAATTTCTAACTTTTAGTGGTCATTAGAGAGTTAAGCTGTATTTTCATCCTTTCAATACCAATACACATAAAATAAAGTTAAATAAATTATTTAAAAAATATTCTTTTTCTCACAAAATATATCATGATTACGGTTTCCTCTCCCTCTACTCCTGGCAGATCCTTCCCACCTCCCCTCCCAACTGGATCCACTCCTTTTTGACCTCTTATTAGAAGAGAACAGGCTTCTAAGGGATAATGATGAAATATAATAATATAAAACAAAAACTATCATGTCAGAATTGCACAAAGCAAGCCGGGCAGTGTGGCACACGCCTTTAGTCTCAGCACTTGGGAGGCAGAGGCAGGTGGATCTCTGAGTTTGGGACAATACTGGTCTATAGAATGAGACCTGGACAGCCAGGGCTACACAGAGAAACCCTGTCTCTAAACAAAAAAACACACAGAGTTGCACAAACAAGCAAGGAAAAGAGCCCAAGAAGGCACAGGAATCAGAGACACACTTGTTTTGCACACTCAGGAATCCTATAATGACACTAAGTTGGAAGCTGTAATATATATGCAGAGGCCTTGGGGCAGACCCATGCAGGCTCTGTGCTGGTCAGGCATCTTTTGAGAGACTAGAGTCTAGGTTTTCCCTGTACATCCTGGCCATTTCTTGGGTTTGCTCTGTGGTAAGGATCCCAAACTGGCTTCTTTTTCTAGAATCTTTAGTTTGATTGCCCATGGTAATATGGCACATTTTCTTGTTACAGAGACCTTCTAGTGAGAAAGATGTTAACACGGTCCATCTCCCAACTCCATCATATTACTACCCCTTTCTTATAGAAACTGGTGTTCCTAAATAGCTTTCCTGGCTGCAGATTTATTTTTCCATGGATTAGGCTTGCCTCTTTATCTTTTTTGTTTGTCTTTGTTTTTTTTTGAGACAGGGTTTCTCTGTGTAGTCTTGGCTGTCCTGGAACTCACTCTGTAGACAAGTCTGGCCTCTAACTCACAGAGATCTGCCTGCCTCTGCCTCCCAAGTCCTGGGATTAAAGGTGTGCGCAACTAATGCCCAGCTTGCCTCTTTATCTTACTGTAAAGATTTCCTGCCAGAGGCTGTTGTTGTAGTAGTAGTTTGCTATGAGCAAAAAAGGGAACTGAAGTAATTTTTTATCTGTTCCTTCCTTACTAAGTTTGGTTCTTTTATTTTTAATTTATTTTTAGATTGTCTTATTTTATTTGTATGAATGTTTTACCTGCATGTATGTCTGTGTACCATGAGTATACCTGGTACCCCCAGAGTTTAGAAGAAGACATAGGATTCCCTGGAACTGGAGTTACACTGTTGTGAGCTACCATGTGAATGCTTGGAATTGAACCCAGATCCTCTGGAAGAGTGAGTGGCAAGTGCTCTTAACTGCTGAGTCATCTCTATAGCCCCCAAGTTGGTCCTTTCAATAATCAATGGCCTTTGACTGGCTCCTGAGTGTTGGGAGGTCTTGGCCCTGTGCTCTCAGAGAGTCAGTGAGGAGATCCCAAAGTACAGAACTGGATTGTGAATGGCCTGTCAGTCTGGTTCCTGTGTTGGCCTACTGCCGGAGAATTGCCAGGCCAAAAGTCTCCAAACTGTATGTCAGTGTCATAGGAGGTGTGGGCCATCCCACTGGGATTCTTTTCTTTGCTCTGCTGGGGATGCCTGTGAAGGTGGAGCTGGGCTTGCTGCTCTCTTGTATCCCCAGCAGTGAGGTGGATGATCAAGACACTTGCGATCTGAGAATCATCCTGTTGCCCACTCTCCTCAGCCAGCGGCTCCATGGACTCGTGCCTCATGATCTGGCACATGAAGCCCCAGTCACGTGCCTACCGCTTCACGGGCCACAAGGATGCTGTGACTTGTGTGAACTTCTCCCCATCGGGACACCTGCTTGCATCAGGCTCCCGAGACAAGACTGTTCGCATCTGGATACCCAATGTGTGAGTTATGGACCTCAGAGGACTAACAGTGCTGCGGGACTTGGTATAAGAGCTGTCCCCCCTTGGGTCCTTATCCTGGCTTTGAGCTGGTCACCGTGGGACCTGTGGCCTCTGAGAGGTGTCAGCAGAGGGCTTCAGTTGGGGTTGTCTCCTTATGTTGAAAGGACTCCCATGAGGGGAGAGGTGGGGGAGAAACACTTTGTTTCTGTTGGGGAGGCTCTTGCCTTTCTGGGGAGACTGGGACAGTCAGGCCTAGAGAGTAGAGAGAACTTTGGTGTACTTGTAGGTCTTCGTGTCACTATTAGGAATCTCCTGAGTCTGGATATCTGTCCTCATAGCAAGGGTGAGTCAACCGTGTTTCGTGCACACACGGCCACAGTGAGGAGTGTCCACTTCTGCAGTGATGGCCAGTCGCTTGTGACAGCCTCTGACGACAAGACAGTCAAGGTGTGGTCAACTCACCGCCAGAGATTCCTGTTTTCCCTGAGCCAGCATATCAACTGGGTCCGCTGTGCCAAGTGAGCATTCCCAGTCTGGAGAACCTGGGAGGGTGTAGGGGTTTTGCGGGACGGAGAGGAACTCTGAGTGTCAGTCTGTTTTGGGGCAAGTTGTATAACTTCCCTTTAATGTATACTGAGCCACGATCTTCTAATCTGTCATGTGTCAATAGCTGTGGTTGCTTCATTGAACTTGTTGGGAGCTTCATTGAGCTCATGTGTGATACTTCATTGAGCTCATGTGTCAGCCATGACCCTCTGCCAGGGGTGCTGAATACTCCCAGGACAGCAGCAGCAGCAGCAGCAAGTCCCTGTCAGCACCACCGTGCACTTTCTCCATGTTCCTTCGGACACTTCTGCCAGCTAGCTAGCATCATTCTCATTTTGCAGAAAAAGAAACAGGCTCAACAGGCAAGAGTGCCCTAGGGCATGCAGTGGGCAAGTGGTGGAGCTGGGGCTCGAGCCCACACCTCTCTGGCACTCGAGTTCGCCTACTTCCCTCAGCTTGACTGTGCTCCAGAGCTGCTAGGCCGGGGCTTGATCCCGAGGCCCTGGCTTTGGTGTGGGAAGCAGAGCTGTGACATGGCATGCCAGGTGACGGGAAGAATTGCAGACACAGTTATGCCTGCCTGTGTCTTCTTCAGCTCCTTCCAACAGAGCTGTTTCATGTCACAGGTCTGCTCCAGAGGAAGGGGTTACAGTGGCCAGAACACTAAGAAACCATGAATGTCAGAGTTAGGGACCATTAGCTGTCTTCCTCTGTGGATACCATGGAAGTTATTTATTCTCTAGGACAGAACCATTCTTTATTCTGGGAGGGCCCTGTTCTGAGAGGTCTTATAGTCAAGGCCTAAGAATGGAGGGGCAGGGGGCAAGCCAGCAAAGTGGGGTATGCTGTCCACAGTTGGGCTTTGATGGTAGGTCCCAGGACCTCCGTGCGTTTTGGTTGGCCCATTGTGTTTTGCTGATGTACTGATGTGGGGCTCCTGGCCTCCCCCATATATCAAGCAGTACCAGTTGTGTATTGCTACAGGCCGTGTGCCTCCTGGGTGTTGTGTGTATTGTGCTGCTGCGTGATTACTGCGGGCACTGGAGAGGATGGATCTCACAGTGGGAAGCCACTTGCCCAGGGTCACTGAAGGTATTAGAGCAGCATATATAACCCAAGTCATTCCTGGGTCAGGTAGCCGAGCCTAGTGGTCCACGCCTATAGTCTCAGGACTTGAGGGGCAGGAGGACTGCCACAGTTCACGGCCAGCCAGATCTACAGCCAGAGTGTTGTAGGCCAGCTGGGGCTGCATAGTGAGGCCCTATGTCAAAACAACAGTAACACAAAATGCCCAGAGGATCCCTGGGTCAGGTGACAGCATCCTGGGAGAGGTGGCTGTAGAGAACATGGTGTGAGATTCACAGTGCCTGTTACTGTGACTTATGCCCCATTCAACTTAGGTTCTCCCCCGACGGGCGGCTCATTGTATCTGCCAGTGATGACAAGACTGTCAAGCTGTGGGACAAGACCAGTCGGGAGTGTGTCCACTCATACTGCGAGCATGGCGGGTGAGTCCTGTTGTTATCTTCTATCTGCAGGTGCTCCAGTACAGGTCAGGGCATGAGGAGCCCAGGAGCCTTTGGGGACTGGGACTGTGCAGAGGTCAGCCCTGCTTCTGCTCTTTGGCCGGCTTACCTTTTGTAGAGCTTTGTACTTTCCTGTTGTGGATGGACAGTTAAGCCTGGGTCGCACCCCACAGACAGCAGAAACACTTCGCCTAAAGTCATGCAATAATTTGGCCCCTCTTTCCCCCTTTAGTTTCTAGTTCTCAGAATCCTAATGTGTCTCTTGCAGCGTTGTATCAGCCCCCTAAACTGCATGTTAAAACCATGGTGATGATTCATCAGTAAAAACCTCTGGTTCTTCTAGCAGGCAGTGCTGCATCATATATGGAGAGTAGGAGGATTCTGCTTCTGAGCGGGATTTAGCTTCTCTGTGTCTAAGGGCTGCAGCTTTACTCCTCATTCCTTAATGAGGCAGGGTCCCCTTTAGAGTGCCGAGTGGCAGGGAAAGTGCACTGAAGGCTCTTGGCCTGTCTTCTGCAGAGATGGATGAGTGGTCCTTGTAGCCCAGGGGGACCTTCCCACCCATGCATGCCTCAGTTGGCACAACCTGTCTTGGATCCAGCCCCTGGCAAAAGGAACCCCTAAGCAACTTGGCTGATTTGTTGGTCTGAAGATTGCTGTTCCCACTTGTACTTAAAGCTCAGCAGTGGGCCGGCCATGGTGACATAACACACACTTGTAACCTCGTAATGGGGGGTGGGGGGTGGAAGATGAGTCTGCGCTACATAGTGAATAGCTGGGCCCACTGGCTGTTGTCTCAAAAAACAAAAAACAAAACAAAAACCCCATAAGGACAGAAGGAAGAGAGGGAGGGAGGAAGGAGGGATGGACATGGCCCCTGATAAATCCACTTCACTTCACTGCTGGCCACTCTTGGTCTTTCTCAGCCACCTGGTAAAGAAGCATGCTCCAGGTTGAGGGAACTGTGTGAACAGACAGGGATAGGACACTTCTGGGTCCATCCTAGCCAGGGAGACCTCTTCAGTGCATGACTGTTCCTGTCTTGGCAGATTTGTCACCTATGTGGATTTCCACCCCAGTGGTACCTGCATTGCTGCCGCTGGCATGGACAACACAGTGAAGGTCTGGGATGTGCGGACTCACCGGCTGTTGCAACATTATCAGCGTGAGTGTTGAACAGTATCCCAGGCCCACAAGGGGCTATGCTGAGACTGTTAGTGCCAGGCACTTGGTTCATCTCTATGGTAACTAAGTGGGCCCAAGGCCAGCCCTGAGTTGGGAGGAATGCTGTGGCTGTTGGGTTAACCAGGATGAATGTTGGTGGTGTAGCTATCTGGGCTTGGAATGTTGATCAGGAGGTACCCAGCTATGAGATAGCCTCACACACACTCAGCTGGGAAGAGTCTTTAGTGGGTTTCTGGCTAAGACTGTCCCTGAGGGCTACTACTTCTTCTTTTTTTAAGATTTATCTTATTATTTATTTTGTATAGTGTTCTGTCTGCATGCGTCCTTGCAGGCCAGAAGAGGGCAGCAGATCTCATTACAGATGGTTGCTGGGAATTGAACTCAGGACCTCTGGAAGAGCAGTCAGTGCTCCTAACCACTCTCCAGCCCCTGAGGGCTACTTCTTGAGAACCCTCATGCTACCCGTTTCTTCTCATGGCAGAGATGACTTTCCGGGGCAAAGAGACCGGACTGCCCATAGCGGTCACTGTTGATGGTTCCTTGGCCCCTTTGTTATCCTCCACCCGTCTGCCTAGAGCCATGAACATTGTAGAAGCTTCTCTTTAGCTGGGGCCAGGCTCTGCTTGCGGACCCAGGGCTGTGGCCTCTTACTTATCTGTCACCTTTGGGTGGCTGTGCAGGGGGGAGTTGGCATTGGTTTGGAGCTCAGCTTTTAGTACTCTCTACCCATATGCACTTCCTTTGTTGCTTCTCAGATGTTGGAACATGGCACTTTCTTAGGCCACTGAGGTGAGCAGACCTTCTGGAATGGGGACAGGACAAAGTAGAGTGTGGATTCTGTAGCCAGCTTCATCATTCCCAAGCTGTGAGACACTGGGCGAATCTGTTGATTCCTTGGAGTTCTTGGGACAGTGATAGGGTTCATCTTACATGTGGCAAGACGGGGTCTGAGTTAGCTCATGTTAAGAATGGACCGTGGCTGGCTCAACATGGGGACAGTGGCAAAGCTGCAGCTGCTCCTGGAGGTCCAAGTGTTGGAGTCTCCCAGTGATTTGCTAGGCATGCAGTACACTGTGCCACCACCAGGTGGCAGGTCTTACCCACAAGAACTAGGTCTTTCCTATTCAGAGAGCTTCAGAGGCTTCCAGGGCAGAACAGCAGTGGGCTCAGCCTTCCACCTAGAGAGGTGCGGGCCATCCCTCAGACTCTGAGACTTCTTTCTGTTCTGGGCCAGGCCTAAGTGAAGGCCCAGGGTTGGAGACCGGGCTTGGCAGAGTAAGGAGGGTTTGGACAGGGAAAGGTGAGGCGGGAAAGAGACAGCGGAGTGCAGTGGCCAGGAGTGTTCTGTGTTCTGTGAAGAGGGTGATAATAGGACCTTCCACATGAGGTGGTAATCTGATGAGAAAGTTCGTGTAGGTATTGTAGTTCATGCTTGGTGTAGTGTGTGCCACATGAGCCCCTACACTGGGAGAAGAGGATTTCTAGCTGTCTCTAGAAGAGTCCAAGTCTCCCTGATGTGTCAGGAGCCTAAGCCTGGTGTTTATGAGTTATAGCAGCGTATACCCATTGGAAGAACCTTAAATACCACCTTTATCCTAAGGTCCCAAATGCTAGTGACTGGCAACTCTGGGACATGACACTCAAGGAGCAAATGGGTGAGGGGCTTTTGAGAGGACAAGTGTTGAGTGAGATTCTGCTAGGGTGTGTGGTTGATAGAGCCTGGCCTGTGGTGCATGGGTTTCCACGCCCAGTGTAGCAGGCATCAGAGTGCAGAGGACTCAGGCCAAGGGGATAGAGGCAGAAGCTGATGCTGTGGTGGTGGAGGGGCAAGCTGGGCCCTGGGATCTGGGACATGAGAAGGGCCAGCGTCACGTGCTGGGGTCTTACAATTGGAGGACCACTGAAGAGAAAAGGTCCCCAAAGCAGCCGGACTGAGAACCATGAGAGAGCTGGGGGAGGGCAGAGCCACTGGGAGAATGGGGTCTTGGGAGGGGGAGGCAGGAGGTGGAAAGGTACAGAGGAGGTGGGGAGGGCTTGGTCATGGTCAGGGCAGCTCAGTGCTAGCAGAGCCAGGAGGTGTGTGGACTTGGGTGAGCGCCAGGGCCGAGTTCTAAGTGGACTGCGGGTTCCTCCGAGAGCTTTCAGTGGGCATCCGCTGCTGTCCTTGCCTCTTGGGATGGCACTCCTCAGCAAGGCTGCAGGGTCCTATTTCCCAGCTGTCCTGGTGTGTGTTGGAGCCTTATGGGAACTTGGTGCAACCTAAAACACAGCCGGCTCCTCCTGAGCTTCCTGCACAAGGCTGTGGCACCTGGTAGGTGTTCACTTGAGAGCAAATGCACCCCTTAGCCTTAGTGGTCACCTGGGGGGGGGATGGGCGAAGCCCCTCTCCCTCTACTTTCTGATACCGGGCCCTAGATAGGTCTAGGGCCTTCCCAGAGAGCCCCGTGGCTAAAACACTGCTCGGGAGGCTCACAGCTCTTCTGTGTGCCTGCTTGGAGGCTGACTGCTCAAAAAGGCCTCTTAGCACCGTGTTAGTAGACCTCTGATCTCTCTTCTGTTCCAGATCCCTAAGAAACCCAGGTGAAAGTTTATAAGGACACGGTGATTGCAGATGTCTCTCTCCCCTGGTGACTCTGGGTGGTTGCCAGACACTTCTAAGTAGCTTTCTGATTTCAGAGGCTGATGGGCTCTTCTAAGAGAATGTGATTAATGTTACTACAGTGAGCATCCAGCTGCCCCGTGGTCATGCTTCCTGCTCTTGGCTGGGCTGTTGGAATAAAGCTTGCTTTAGCCTTCAACTACAGCCTATAACTATTACTGTTTGTCTAGGCTGACTGACTGTCCTCCCAGGCAAGGAGTTTCTTGGCTCTGGCCAATCACTGTAAGGAGCATTTCTGATTTCTCTATTCAGTATGGGTTGGTAGAAGCCAGGGAGTGCATTCCCGTGGAGGTGGGTTAGGTGCCATATGCTCAGAGCCCACGAGAAGACTGTTCAAGCATCTGAGCAGCAGCTCCCACCATCCCAGAACCCAGAATGTGCTCTGAGGTTTACAGGCATGTGCAGGTCCATGATCCAGGCACAGCCTGGGTGACCAGCAAGACACCAAACTCCCACTTCACCACAGGGAGTGTGAGGCTTATCTACATAGCTGGGAGGCAAATCTAGCTCTTCAGTAGGGAGGGTCGGGAGTCTGCCCACCATTTCCACACTGGGTTCCACACACCCTAGTGTGTGTTTTTGTTTGTTTATTTTTTTGTTTTTGTTAGTTGTTTTGTGTGTGTGTGTGTGTGTGTGTGTGTGTGTGTGTGTGTGTGTGTGTCTGTGTCTGTGTCTGTGTGGTTTTTTGAGACAGGGATTCGACGTGTATCCCTGGCTGTCATGGAATTCACTTTGGAGACCAGGCTGGCCTTGAACTCACTGCAATCCGCCTGCCTCTGCCTCTCAAGTGCTGGGATAAAAGGCATGTACCACTACTGACTGAGCAGAGATGGTTTTCTTGACTGGCTGTCAGCAGGTTTGACCTTATCATTTCCAGGAGCTCTGAGTTGAAATTCTTAGTCCTGACTGGGTTCTCTGGTCCCTGGTTTCTAAGAACATCTCCGTACATATGGTGTGGGTGTTTAACCTATACATATATCTGTGTGCCAAATGTGTGCTTTGCTCAGAGGGGCCAGAAGAGCACTGGGCCTGCTAGAAGTGGAGTTACAAATTGTCGTGAGCAGCTGTGAGGGCTAGGACTCAAACCAGAGCCCTTCAGAAGAGCAGCTAGTACTCCTGACTGCTGAGCCATCTCTCCAGCCCCTTGTTGTATGTTTTTAGTGTTGTATTAGGGATTGAACCTAGGACTTTAAGCATATCACGCGCGTGCGCTGATGCCGCCAAGCCAAATAGCATGTTAGATCCCCTGGAGTTGCAGGTGGCTGTAAGCTGCCTGATGTAGGTGCTGGGAACTGAACTCACAGTTGCAAGAGCAGTTCACATTCTCAGCTGCCGAGCTCTCTCTCCCAGCACCTTGATCTTTCTCTGGCCCTACTTGCTGCTTTGACACTGAATATATTGATGAGGAGCAGTGCTGCCTAACCTACCTCACTGTTTCCTTCCATCCCAAAGTGGCCATTTATGTGAACTTTGCAAAGAGGACTACTCAAGGTGTTCTTGCTGCTAGTCTCAGGATACGTTTAGGTATATTTAAAGTTTCTTAGAAACCCAGAGGCCACTGAGTCACTGGCAACACGAGTTATCAGGAGGAGCCGTGCTGGACATTTGGAAGTGAGCAGACCCCTTTTGTGGTAGGTGTGGAAATGGAACTGGGTCCTGTCTACCTCAGAAAGTTCCATCCTACCCAGTGCCCAGGCATTCTCTGGACCCCTTGGCCTCTCTGTACTCACATCAGGCCTAGGTTTGCCAAAAGCTTCTTCCTGTACATAAAACAGTGTAGGTGGAAGGGATTATGTAAAGGGAAGTCTCTCTTCAGGTTATCTGCTACCCACAAGCAGCCATTTCCTGGTGTTTGGGGACAGGGGCTGCAGGACCCCTGTGGCTCCTGGTGACAAGCAGATGCTTGCTGTTATGCATCTCTGACACTGAGTTAGGATTCCTGCTTTAGATCACAGCGGGGGGGAGGGGGGCTTACAGCTATCAAATGATAGCCTGTGTTGTCCCTGATAGCTGCAGTGAAGCCAAGGCAACTTGGACAGCTCAGGACTTCATGAAAAGTAGACTGTTCTTGGACATCACTGCTCAAGGCGTTGTGAGGGGAGGCTCACCCCTTTGTGGGAATATTTGCAGGGATGGCTCATGCGATGAGATGTGACCCACCATCTCTGCAGAAGCAGAGTAGAGGAGACTGTGGCCAGCAGACAAGGCAAGGAGAGCAGGTGGGGAAGGGTGGGGGTAGGTTTTGTGTCTGGGTTTCCCTCAAAGCCCAACATATCAGGCTCAGCCCTTCTTGGGAGTACGAGGCTGTAGGTATTGGATACCCTGGCATTTGTAGTGGAGTGGGGCTTCTGTTGCTCTTTCTCTGAGGACAGTTTTCTATCTCAGGAAGCCTGACCAGAGAGGAAGCCATAGTGTCGTGTCCACACAGACTGCTGTCTTGGGGGTTCAGGGGAAGGCCAGGGCTCCTTGAGTGTGCCTTGCCATGCTCCATTTTTCTGCTCCTGTCTGTGCTTCTGCTTCTTGTCACAGGTGGGGCTTGGGTGGCCTTCATTCCAGGACAGGCTGAGGGGTCTCGATTCTGTCTCCAGGAGTGGGTGCAGAAACCTTCAGCTCTCCAGGCTGCCTCCTGGAGTTGTGTCATTGGAACGCGGTGTTGAGATATAAATACCAGGTTACATAAAGCCTTGGCTGTCTCCCCTAAGTGTGCTTGGGAACATGTCTCCACACTCCCCAACACATCAGTGTACCAGTGTGGTTAGCATCTAAGAAGCTTCCTGTAATCCTCGTGAGCTCTGCTGAGGGCCTTGCAGAGGTTCCTGCGTCCTCTTGCAGCCCAGGTGAGAGCCTGGCTTTTGAACTGTATTTGTGTCAATGCCAACCCATCAGGGTTGTGGTTATCTTGGCTGCACTGGTTCCTTCAGTAGATTAGTGGTAGTGAACAGGAAGGTACAAAGGCCTTGCCTTTGCAGCAGCTGTGATTAGCAGGTCCATGTGTTGGCTGTGATGTGGCTCCTTCCCCATGGGGACCACATGGCTCTGCCCATCTCTTCTAGCTCCCTACACAACATGCCTTCAACCTCAAGGAAGGGCTGTGCAGCAGCCTCAGGGGTTCTTTCTGAACGACCATCCTAAGTAGCTCCATTTTCTGAGTCCCACTTGGTGCCAGACGCTGAGCCAGTCATGAGGCGCTGGGCTTAGTCTCTGTCTGATAGAGGTGGTGATGTCATGAGGCAGCGGGCGAGAGTCTGAGCGCAGCACATAAAAGAGAGGGTGAGCTGGCGTGAGTCTTGCGATGTTCTGGAAGAACAAGAAGGGGGCCCAGCAAGGAGTTTATCTTAAAGTCGGTTCCCCAGAAAGCTTCCCAGGGGAGATGACTCTAAAGGGAGAGCTTGAAGATCAGGGACAGGGCAAGAGACTTCTAGGCCCATTGGGAACACGGGTGAAAAGGCTTCACAGACGGGCAAGTCACCAAAGTTGGGGTGACTGATTCTTGGAGAATGAGGGACAGCAGAGTAGATGGTAGTGGGGTCTGGGCTGCCGGGTGGGTAGAGTAGACGGGCCAGAGAAGGATAGCCATGCTGGCACCGGGGGCCAAGGGTTCGGTTTGAGATTAACTGCTAGCATCCCATGCCAGCCCCAACAGTGCTGTGGTGCGGATGAAGAAACTGCCCGGCTCGCTCAGAGTGACTGTTGAAGGTCACAAGGCAGGCCAGTGGGAGAGTAGGACAGGAGCCCAAGCCTGCTGGCTCCTGACAATCACTGTGTCTTCTGCTGGCTGTCCCCATGTGAGGTCTGTCCTACAAGGTAGCACGCTGTATTATATTTGCGGGTTTCCCTGCAGTAACAGAGTGTAAAACAGATTCAGCACTGTATTTGCCTGTTGATCTCTTCTGGTTTCACTGCTGAGTGTTATGGGGAAGGTGAAGGGACCCTGTGATCCTCTTACTTGCTGTGTCTATTTCTTCATTGTGTCTCCCTTTGCCTGCCCTTGATCCCCATCCATAACTTGTGCCACTCCCCTGGGAAATCCGTGTGGGGTTCCCTCTCACAATAAGCCATGGGCATCCTAGGCTGGCCCCCTGCAGCCGACGCTGAGGCACTGTAGACTCTCATCGCCTGCCTTCAGCTGTGTTCTTCCTAGACGTGTAACATCTCGGAATCACAGCTAACACCCTGCCTGATGGCTGTCTTCTCCAGTACACAGTGCAGCCGTGAACGCCCTGTCCTTCCATCCGTCGGGAAACTACCTCATCACAGCCTCCAGCGACTCAACCCTGAAGATCCTGGACCTGATGGAGGGCCGGCTGCTCTACACACTCCATGGGCACCAGGTGAGCGGTATGGGCATGGCCTGGGGCAGAAGCACAGCTTTGATGCAGGTGCAGGGCTAGGGTTCACCTGAGGGGAGGTCGTCTGAGGGCTTTTTCCCCTGCAGCCCACTGGGGTTCCATCTCAGCCTAGACAATGCAGTGAGACGCAGAGGTAGGCTTGGCATCGACCGGAGCCGATAGAGGCCTTTTTTTTAATGACCTTGACTGATTGTTGGGCTTGAACTTGGTGAGCCTGAGGAGGGAGTAAGGAACTAAGATTGGGAAAGGTGTGGGCTGAATGGAGTCATTAGACTCCTTGGTCTCGTGACTGAGTAGTGTCTTAGAACCCTGGTCACCTTTGTTACTAGACCTCAGAGAGAAAGGCATGTTTTTCAGAGGTTGGGGCGAGAGAGGGAATCTGTGTGTTTGTCTAGGACTTTCTGGCATTGAGTCAAAGGAGCAGAAGCTTTCTGCCTGAGTGGCTTCAAAGGGCATCGGCCCTCGGAACTCTCTGGTGGATGGCAGCTAGTAAAAGGCTCCTGTGGGTCATCTGCAGGAGTTGGGCTAATGCATTTCTCACCATCAGTTGGCTTGGGGCCAGGCCTCTCATGTTTACCCCACCAGGAAGTTGTGATATAGCTGTTTCCTGCTAAACAGATCAGTCACCAAAGTGTCTTCTGTCGGAACAGAACGTAGTCACCATGTGTAAGTGGGGTAGATGGTGGGGTCCAGAGATTGTGTGTCCTCTTCTCCACTGGTGAGCTGGAGGAAGGCAGGACAAGGAGTAGGTCAGGTCCTCGAGGCTGAAGGGGGCCCTGGAGGAGCTTGTGTACCCCCCAAGGAGTATGGAGCATCTAGCTTAAGGCTTCCTGAGCTGTTTTAGACTCCTGCTGTCTGTAGGGCACATGCTGCAAGCCTTTTGACCACGGCTCAGAGGTGAGGACATAGCCTCTTCTTTCCTGGGAACTGAAAGCTACTTGCTGTCTCTCACCTAGTGCTGAGCCCTTGTCTTTCCCATGTTGAGGAATAGGCCAGTCTTCCCTGGGCCTCCACAGCCAGATGCAATGTCCAGTGTCCTAAGGTGTAGTGACTGCAAGCCAGTTTGCTTAGGTTCACGTGTAACCAGTTTGGGTCTTGTAGCCAGGAAGGCCTGTGAAAGCTACCTCTCCTGTTCCCCAGGGGCAAAACAAAAGCACTTCTCAGAAACAACGCATAAGCAGGTGCATACCAAATGACAGTCCAGTCCCTTTGTGAGGTCCTTCGAACTGTGGGCTTCTCTCAGCCTGAGGACTCCAGTGTGGATTGCAGATGTCATTCCCAGTGCTTTGGTGCATTATCCAGCACATACAGGCAAACCTGTTGACATTGTTTTCCCTGCATCTGTCTATCGGCTCCCTGTTCGTTGGGTCAGATAGGAGGGACACAGAATGAAGGCCATGGTCCTATTCAGCGTTCACAGCCTGGACTGTGGAGGACTGCAGTTAAGGCAGAGGAGTTAAGAGACTAAGAAGGACAGACTGAGTCTTATAAAGTGCTCGAGGGTTGGGTGAGAGTGGGCGGGCCCTGCCTGTCTCCCCAGCTCAGATGAAGGTGAGAGTCAGAATCTGAGGCCCAAGTGGTTTCCTCTCCACATCCCCTAGACTCCTATCCAATCCAGAAATAAGGTGGTTTAACAGATTTTACACGGTTTTCTTGTTGAGCTCTCTGGTGCCTAGGCCTCTTTTGAGGGACCACAGGCCCAGGGTGTCCCTGGAAGTCAGGATCTGCTCAGATTCCGCTCCATGCCTATGTTTCCCGTAACCCCGCTCTTTGTGAAGACACTTGTTCTTTGTCTACCCCCTTCCTCTTCGAGGCCCTTAATGAGACCCTGCACACTCACAGCTGGTGGTGGCTGCTCACTGCTCTTCTCCACACTGCTTTCCCCGTCCTCTGCAACATGGGGTGGCTGGTTTGAGCTTGCTTTTGGGTGTTTACTAAATATGTAGAAGTGTCTCTGGAGCTGGAGAGATGGCTCAGCAGTTGAGAGCCCTGGCTGATCTTCCAGAGGTATTGAGTTCAATTCTCAGCAACCACATAGTGGCCCACAACTATCTGTAATGAGATCTGGTGCCCTCTTCTGGTGTGCAGGGGTACATGTAGAGAGAACGTGTATGCATAATAAACAAATCTTAAAAAAAAAAGAAAAAAGCTTTCTGTTTGAAAAGTTGAGTGTCAGGGCTGAGGCACGGGCGTGAATGTGGGGATCAGGGCTGCCTGAGAAAGAGCCTCATTTACCCCAGCCCTGTCCAGCTCACCCTCCTGGCTCTGCCCTGTTTGGATGAAGTTCAGTGTAGCTTCCTAAAGGGGAGGATGTTACAGGTGAAACAGCTTTGATAATCTGGGTGGTTGCTTCAGACAAAGCCTATCAGCTGAACTGAACTCTTGGTGCTTATGGAGAGCTGTGGCTAAGAGTGGAGTCTGATCCACTCCATCCCTGGAGGCTGGTCTGGGCTGTCTGTGACTCGAGAGGGTTTGTCAGCTGCTGTAAAGAAGGTTTGGCTTAGCTCCAGGAAGTTCTCTGTCTTAATCTCTGAGTCCTTGAGGGTCTAGCTGGGAGCCACATCACAAGAGGCTGTCGACCATGGGGCCCCAGTCCCGAGTGCCACTCTGCCACAAGTAAGTAGTCTTTTGGGGCTCTCTGCTTGTGAAGTCCATTCCCTGCTTTGATCTTCCAGAAGTGCAGGTGGGCGCTGGTGACTTGAGCTTTTACATTCTGTTCCAGGAGGCAATGCCATGATGGGAGATGAAGCACAGGGTTAGCAGCCCCTCCCAGCTGTGTGCGGTTAGCGGTTCTAGGGCTCGTAAGTGGTCCCCGCTGATCCTGCCTTGACATAAGCGCGGTGGCAGGCTTGAAAACACTTTTGAGAACAGGTGACACAGGGGGTTGTATGTACTTCTCAGGGCAGCAGAGCTGAGACAGCGCTCACAGCCACAATTTTCGCTGCTCACTTGCTTGTCACACATGGCTTTGCCATTTGAGTTATGGTTTCACCCTTGGTTCTGCTTCGCTGATCTGGATGAGATGCCAGCAGGCCTCATGGCTCCTGTGTCCCAACTTTAGTGCTGTGTGACCCTGTTCTGGCCTAGTAGGAGGGAGACCCCATGAAACCAGCTTAGACTTGGGAGGCCCAACAGGTGGCAGTCCCCAGGCACAATCTCTAGAGAGCTGTCACAAGGAAGTCCATTTTGGCAGTGGGACAGCAGCTTTGTTGTGTTTCTATTGCCATACATGAGGGGAAAGGACGGGCACGGGCTGAGGGTGGAGCCCTGCGAAGGTTGGCCTTAGAGTCTTATCAGGCTGCAGACCTTGACCAGGAGAGGGGGGCTGCGCATGTGGAGAGCTGTGCTTGCATGTCCTGTCAGAGGGCAAGGCCTGAGCAAGCCCTCGGGACTGTAGGGGAGGGTCCCACATAGGAGGCCGAAGGGTCAGTTTAGGTGGCATTCATACGGGTTGTGTCCACCGCTGCCTCAGTGTATCGTTCCATGGTCTCCTTAGGCACCAAGGGCATTAGCATGATGTAACTTGCCAAGCACCAGAGTGAGCTCAAGATTACCCAGTGTCTTAGTTAGGGTTTTGGTTGCTGTGAAGAGACCATGACCACAGCAACTCTTATAAAGGAAACATTTGACTGTGGAGGCTCGCTTACAGTTCAGAGGTTCAGCCCATCATGGCGGGGAGCTTGGCAGCATGCAGGCAGGCACGGTGCTAGAAAAACATATCTTGCAGGCAACAGGAATTCAACTGACTATCACACTAAGTGAAACTTAAGAAAAAGACCTCAAAGCCTGCCCCCACAGTGACACACTTCCAGCAAAAGGGGTGGCCCAGACTAAAGGTGTGGCCTCCAGCCTCAAGGTCTGAATTAAAGGTGTGTGCCACCCAGCTTTCCCAAACAAGGCCACACTTCCTAATAATACCAGTTTATAGGGCCAAAGACATTCAAATTACCACACCTAGTAAGGGTTTCTTGGGTTGGAACTATGTGGGGATGTAGAAGGCTCCTATCAGCCAGATACGGTTCATTTTTCAGTTCCGGTTGCTTGGCTGCCCCTGGGGCATGTGAGGCTGGCTTTTTTGAGGTTCTGTGGGAACATTGCTGAGTGACATGGCTGACAAGCCACAGAGCTGGGTAAGTTCCTTGCTGGCTTGGATTTGCATAGGTGCTGGCCCTTTCACCCTCTGCCTTACCTGGAACCCTCAGCATGGAGGGAGGCAGTGGGCTGTCTATAAGCCTCCAGGTGCAGCCCTAGTGGACACTGCCGTTCTTCTGGTCAGTGGATCAAGTCAGCTCCAGAGAGGGGCCTGCCCTCAGTCTGAGGCTTGAGGGGGGCTGTCTGCCACTATCGTGGCAGTCAGGCAGGAAGGAATGAGGAGTCCCAGCCTGACTCTCCGTGCAGTGCAGATTTGGGGGCGTGAGAGCTGTAAGGGAGCTCAGTGCGCCCCCTCATTTACATCAGGGAACACCGGCAGGAGAGGGAAGGGCTTTCCCACTGACTACAGCTGTCATTTGAAGCCTCGTGGCCCTGAGCAGGGTCTTCACAGATCTGTGGCAAGTGTGGGGGCAAGGTGCTAGAAATATAGATTTATTTTTCTGTATTTTCTGAAACATAGTCTTGAGCCATGCTCATTTGGTTTAAACCCTCCAGAGCTATTTGGGAGAGGATGGTGGGTGGGCCGTGGGCAGAGAGTTAAATCTGGTATTAGTGGCTGTGCAGTTGGTATGCGTGTTACTGCAGAGTGTCATCGTGGAGTGACTGAGCTGCGCACCAACTGGCAAGTGCAGACAGCCACCCGAATGTGGGTGGGAATGCTTGCCACAGGCCTAGACATGGACAGGGCTGCTGACTGTACTAATGGCAGGAGCTCGGGCTTCTGAGGAACCCACAAATGTATTCTGGTCACTTGGGCCATGCCAGGCCCTAGGCTGGGGGTGGGGAAGTAGAGGAGAGGAATCTTAGGTGCTTGGGCTGCCCCTGGGGCTGCAGCAGGGGAAGTAAGCTTCTGGAATGTCTCTTCACCCTGTGTGAAGTGCACTCAGCCCTTGTGCAATCACCTTGTTCTGGAGGAGGATTTTGATTGTCAGTAGGGTCTTACCTGGTATTGGTTGGACTCCTCTGGGCTGTGTAAGGGCCATGAAGACAGAGAGTTGAAACCCAGAGTCAGCCTGGCCTTAGCAATCCAGAGTTAAGAGCTGGAAGCAGGTGTCCTGGGCCAGGGTTGAGAGAGAGCTTTGCTTCCTCTGGGGAGCGCTTCCTACACAGAACTAATGTCCCTGTGTGGGTCACCACTTGATATACAAACACCAGATGTTCTGGACTGAGTTTTTGCACAAAGTCAGAGGCCAGAGCACCCACACCAGATGTCCCTTAGCCTCCCCTGATCACAGTATATCTGATGCCCATTCTGCTTTTTCGTCTACTTGGGGAATGTGTGTTGTGACTGCCCTGTTTGTACACTGGTACATGGACGTCACCAGCAAAGCTCTTAGGGCACTGTGGTCAGAATCCAGGTGCCACAGAGTCTGGCGAGTGTGAGGAGAGTCCAGAGATCTGGATAGGCTGCTTAAGGGCATCTGAGTGTGCAGTCTAACCTAGTTACTGTGGCCTTCTTTGTTTTGCCTGAAGCTTGCTGTTTAAAGAAAATGGACAGAAACTGGCCAGATGGCTTGTGGGTAAAGGCTTGCTGCCATGCCTGATGACCTGAGTTCTTTTTTTTTTTTTTTTTTAATGTATATTGGTGTTTTGCCTGCATGTATGTCTGTGTGAGGGTGTTAGAGCTTGGAGTTACAGACAGTTGTAACTCCATGTGGATGCTGGGAATTGAACCTGGGTCCTCTGGAAGTGCAGTCTGTAGTCTGACTTTTTTTTGTCAGGACCTTCATCTCCCCAATAATGACACATTATTAATTATGAAAAGAAAAGACCTATTATTATGAAAGCTCAGCCAATAGGTTAGGCTAACTATTTTTATAATTTAAATGAACCCATTTTTATTACTTCCTGCCTTGTGGCTTTATCACCTCATCTCCACAGTGCCTGTCCTGCTTTCTCTGCATCTCCTGGAGTCTCCACAATCCTTCCCAGCATCCTCTGTGCCTGGAAATCCCGCCTAGCTATTGGCCATTCAGCTTTTTATTAAACCAGAGTGACACATCTCCCAGTGTAGGAAGATTGTTCGACAGCAGCAGTCAGTTCTCTTAACCACTGAGCCATCTCTCCAGCCCCATGAGGACCTGAGTTCTATATCCAGATCGATCATGTAGTAGGAGAGAACCGATCCCTTAAGTTGTCCTCCTGCTTCCACACATGTGCCATGGTGCACATGTATGCATGCTAAATAATTAAATTTAGACGAAAGATTGCAGCATAGATCCTGTGAGTCTGGAAATTGACAAGGGAGATGAAGCATGTGGGGTGTGTTCAACCAAGTAGGACAGGGTCAGGAGGGAGAATAGAGAAGACACTGTGCGTGCGTGCGTGCGTGCGTGCGTGTATGTATACGCATACGCATGCAGTATTCACCACAGATTAAGAAGGATAACCTCATAAACCTTCAGGGATTCAGGGATGGGGAGGAGCTCTAGTTGAGCTTGTGAGGCATCTGCATGGATGTGGTCAGGAGTAGACGAGGGACAAGGTCCCCAGCAGGTAGGCCACTCTGCTACTGGGCATGCAGGGCAGCTGGGATCTATACTGCTGAAGGCCCATCGAGACATGATCCTCAAGTCACACTCAGGGGTCCCTGTGGGGGCACCAGGGGTAGGTTCAGCCTTGGGGTCAAAGGACCAAGCAACATCCCTGCCTGGAGCTGGCCTCCTGTGCACCAGGAGTGATTGATCAAATGAAAGGAACAGGCGGCCATGAAGCTAGAACATATTAGTATTTGATCACTGACACTGTCGGAAAGGAACTCCCCAAGTCCCCAAGTTCCCTTGACTTGGAAACCTTAGATTCATTCACTTCAAATAACTGATGGCCTAAAGAACAATTTGAGTCAGAGCTGACTGAGAATTTAGAAGGGAATGACAGAGAAAGTGTTGCAGACTAGAAACATCCGGGATCAGGCTAAGGTGGTGTCAGAGACAAATTTGTAGCCTTAAAGTAGTTTATTTAAAATGAAGGAAGAGTAAAAATGACTGAAGAGCTCAATGTTGGAGCTTCAGAAGGAACTCTGAGGAAGAGACCTTGTTTTGGTTTAGCCTTTGAGGAGCAGTGAGCAATAGAGTAGGCTAGAATGTTGGGGAAGGGCAAGATCAATGGAGGCTGCTTGTCCGGGCCCTGAGGAGCCAAGCCCCAGAACACTTCAGCACAGGAAGGAGGGCCTGGTCTGTGTAGTCATGGTCTGAGAGAGAAACACATCATTATGTGATTTTGGCATGGTGATACAATCTGATGGGAATACAGGCAGCACGAAGTGCTCCAGGCTGTTTGCTTGGGCTCTGGGCAGACAGACCCGTAGAAGCCTCTGATGAGCGCTGTTCTTTCTAGGAATACAGAGGCTCCTGGTTGCGGGAACTTTGCCGCTCTTAGCAAACAGGCACTACTAGGGAGGAGTGTGGGCCCCACAGAACCTCCTCATTGCTTGCTTATCCCTGAGTCTCCTGAGAGACCTGGTCTCCTGGGAAAGCGCCAGAACATTAGCACCTGCCCTCTGGCCCTAATCCCCCTGTAAGCTGGGTGCATTCTTGCAGTCTGCTGTTATTGCTGCTGACATCTTGCTCCCAGCTTGGCATCTGGTGGTTGAGTGATGACAAGCAATGAGAGTGAGCCACAAGTGTGTGTCTCCTCTCGTTGCTGGCCCTTCTTGGGCTCTTCCCATGAGCCCCGGGTGGGCAAAGGGCCCGGCTGCTTTTGCAGCCCCGTGCACTGATACCCTTCCCTTGCCTTTCTTCCCTCTTTCTTTTCCCTCAAAATGAAAAGCATTTTGTTGTCTTGCTGGGTTTTTTTTTTTTTTATGGCATAGCCATACATTTGTTAAAAAGTTCCAAGTATGAAAATGGTCAAGATTGCCAAGAATTGAGTAGCTGTTCTTTGAAAGTGTATCACCTTCCTCCATCAGCCTTGTATCCCCTTGCCAACTGTCCACTGGAAGGGATGCTCCCCACCCCCACTCTGCAGATGCAGCCAGTGTCACTTGAAATGGAGTCACATGGTCCAGTATGCCTCGCACCTGGCATTTGACACTCACCATTCATGGATGTGAGTGGGCATTGTTCCCTATCTGTAGAAGTGGGTCCCACTTTATCTTGGCTAATGGTAGGCTAGAATTCCTGGGGCTGCTGCGGGTAAGGTAGGCCTAAGCCCGTGAATCCACTTGTGTGGAGAAGGGAGGTGACAGGCAGGCATAGGCTTTGTATTGTGCCCTCTTGGGCTTTGTTTCCCCTAGGTTGGAATGGTAAGGCACATGCTGTCCTCTAGGGATGAGATGGGTTGGTACAGGTGCAGGGCTCTGAGCTAGTGCTAGCCACGTGGAATTCTTTCTGTCTCTTCACCCCATTGTGAGCACCTCTGAGAGGGGGGGACTAAAAGTGGGTTCTGGAAGCAAGAGCAGGTATACCCTTCCGTCTCATGTGCCTGAGCAGGGAAGCATGCTCACTGCCTGTCACCTGGAGAGAAACTGCTTGTGGCTGTGAGGTTTCTTTCCAGCCTAAGCCATGGTGGTCCTTCCTAGCACAGAGTGTGGGGTGCTTTACTGTGTTCCCTTTGTCCCTGGGTTCTGATGGTGAAAGCCCCTCCTGTGGGCAATTCTTGTCACACTCTGGTGGCCTAGAAGAACTGAGGTGACCTTTGTGACAGATCTAAGAGATGACTTTGATCTGGTTTTGCCTGCAGAATGCCAAGCACTGGCCATGGTAAATGTTCAGCGGGAAGGGAGCGGGCTGCATGTGTGGCTGTGACCAGGTCCTTGCTTGGCACGTCTTTCTGGAATGGACTCCAGGCATATGGAGAGGAATGTTGTTCTTTCTCTACTGGGAGGTCACGATCCCCTCCCAACCAGGGTGTGCTTGCTTTGCTTGTTGGAGAGTGCTGCATGGCATGTACTTGACATTCCCTTTTACATGGTCACGCTGACCTTTTGTACCTAGGAAGGCAGAGAAGCACATTGTGCTCTGCAAGGCCCAAACTGAAGGAGAGTGCCAGGAAGAGTGCAGGGACACTGGTGTCACTTTGGTCCACTCCCCAGGCACCTTCACTGTTTCTCTCCTCAGCCTCCTCCTTACTGTTCAAGCCTCTGGCTTTGCCTCATGTGTTTGAGCCTTTGGCTTTTCCTTGGAGTTCGCACTTCTGGGCTACAGCAGGGCTATTGGGCTGTGGCAGAGCGCTGAGCGCTGATCTTAGCTGTGCATCTCTGACCTCCTGCTTCTCATTAGGGAAGCCATGAGAATGATGCCCGCCTGGCCAGACTGCCAGAGTGAATGTCCTGGTCCCTCCTTTCTGCCCAGCCTTGATCCCACAGCTCTGCCTTGTCTGTTGAGATGTTTGGAAGAAGAGCTCCAGCAGTGGTTCGTGTATCTGACCACACGCAGGCTTCTTGGACAAAGGCTAAGGAGGACTGGGTGCTGAATGAGTGCTCAAACCTTTGTCCTGTTGCTGCTGTCATTCAGGAACTGCATTTAGACTCGGAGGGACCTTTCTGGAGGGGGCTGTAGGATGTGTTGACATAGGGTCTTGTGTAAGCCAGGCTGGCCTGGAATTCCTGATTTCCCTGCCTCCACCTCCCAAGTACTGCGCTCACTAGTATGTACAACGTCCAGCTGACCTTTGGTGTTTTTCTGTTTGTTCTGCTAGGGACCTGCCACCACCGTTGCCTTTTCAAGGACTGGGGAGTATTTTGCTTCTGGAGGCTCTGATGAGCAGGTAAGACAAGAATGACCTAAAATTCCGAGCTGATCCTGCTCAGAACCCCACAGGAGGCTGGGGGCCATTCGGAGATGGGCCTTGGTGGCCTTCAGTGGCTACAGCCATGGTGAAGACACTATGATGGAGCTTGGAGGGCGACAGGGGTAGTACTCAGGTCCAAGGCCAGTCTCCTGCCCAAGTGTCTCAGACTAGAATGGGGTAGAAGGAGTTTGAGCTAATTATTGTGGTGAAAATGTTGAAGATTTTCCGGATGTTTTTTTTTTTTTTTTTTTTCTCTCCTGATTACATAAAGAGTGAAGAATTGCTGGGTACTTACTGCAGATCTGGTAATGTTGTCAGTGTGTCAAGAGTTTTATAGCTCATTTAGTTCTCCTGAGTCCTGTGGGGCAAGTCTTCCTATTTTATTCTTATAGATGAGAAAACAGTCCCAGCAGGTGGCAGAGACAGGGACAGGCACTGAGGCCATATGGCTGCTGAGCCTTGGTTCTTCCCTGGGAGTCTCTTCTCTATTCCCTGCTGCCTTTTGCTTCCCGGTCCACTGCATGTCTAATGGGTCAGCGTTTTCTGTGTCATTGGCTGCAGAGAGGGAGTCCTGTCCCACCTCATCACCCTTTGCACTGAGGCTTGACCCTGCCTGCTCTGTGCCTCTTTGCCCAGACTGCTAAATGCCAGGGGCTTATCTGCCAGGGCTGGGGGTACTCTGTCTGACCTTGGGGGCTGGCTCAAAGCCCGGCTCGGGAGAAGTGTGGGGTACTGGGGACTGCACCTGTCAGCGGTCTCCCAAAGGGTCTACACCGTCCTTTTCTTCTAGGAGAGAGCAGTGGTGTGCACACAGTAGATCTGGTGGGTTGCTGAGAGTACCCATCTGGCCTCATAGCCTTGCTGCTCAGCCTAGACGAATCCTGTTGGCCTTCCATGAGTCCCAGCTGCAGTGAAATGTACCAATTTCCCCTTAAAGCAGAGGCTAGCTAAAGGTTCTGTCTGTGTCCACATCCTGGATAACAGCCAGCATGTGCCTTCCCACCCCAGCTCTGGGTCCTAGCTAGCAGCCAAAGAAGACAAAGGTAAAGGAAAGCCTTGAGCCTACAGTGAGCATGGAAAATGGGAACTACAGAGCAAATGCACATGTTAACTGTGTAGTAGATGTACATGTTAAATAGCCATGCTAAAATGAAGTCACGCAGCACAAGAGGCAGCCTGGGGGAGAGCTCCCACCTGCCATAGCCATCCTCAGACAGTGAGGCTGTCAGCACCCGGATCTTTACATCTGCTCATGTTTTTCTGGGGTGTTTGGTGTTATCTCTGTATTCGTGCTGGCCACTCTGCTGCTAGGAATGCTAGGTCTCCATGGTTATACAAGGACCTTGTATGTGGGCTATGTGTATGCCAACACTCTGTTTGTAAAGTGATAAACGAGGTACCCATGTGCCCATCCCACTGAGAGCTATAAACAGTGGAATTGCTCAGGGAGTGGTGAGGAGCCTTCCTAAGAATTGCTGCCCAGGGCATGTCAAGTCTTCGTCTTGGGTGATATAGCGGTGGGGTGTTTGTTTGATTTGGTTTTTGTTTTTGTTTTGTTTTGTTTTGTTTTTGTTTTGTTTTTTGTGGCCTCATTGGCTTCCATTGACTGATGGTCATGTTGCATGATTCCTCCTGTGATGGCCAGGCCAGTCATCCTGAGAAGCAGCCAGCCTCCTTTGGCTTTTAGCCACCAGTAGGGAGTGCTCTTGTTCCTAAGGTTTTGTGGAAGTGCCTTCAGGCATCATCCTGTTTAGGAAGATACTGAGTGTGGTTGTTTATATATGAAAATTTTTAACATTTATTTTTGTGTCTTTAACTTTTTTTGGTTTTTTTTGAGACAGGGTTTTTCCTTGTAACAGCTCTGGCTGTCCTGGAACTTTCTTTGTAGACCAGCCTGGCCTCGAACTCATAGAGATCCACCCGCCTCTGCCTCCTGAGTGCTGGGATTAAAAGTGTGTGTCATCACTTTTTGGCTAACTTTTTTTGTTGTTTTTAATGAGTATATGAGGGTTTGCATGCATGTAGGTCTGTGCACTACATTCATGCAGTGCCTGTTAAGGCCAGAAGAGGGTGCCAGATCCCCTGGTACTGGGATTACAGAGGTTGTTAGTAGCTGTGCTGGGACTCAAACTTGGGTCTAGTGCTCTTAACCACCAAAGCAACTTTGTCTGTCTGTCTGTCTGTCTGTCTGTCTGTCTGTCTGTCTGTCTGTCTGTCTATCTATCTTTATCCATCTAATGGCTAGGTCTCTCTCTCTGTAGTTCTGGGTGACCTATGTAGACTAGCCTGGCCTTGAACTCAGAGATTTGCCTGCCTTTCCCTCCAATGTTTGTACAACCACACCTGGCTAAGGATATGTTTTTCACTGTTCTTATTAGGCTTAGGATAGTGAGTGTATTAGCATCCACTCCCTCGTGCCAGTGACTGGGTTACACTGTATCCTGTGAGCCTCCTAGCAGCCCTGGGAGGTGGGAACTGGGATCTTTTCAAAGAAGAGGGCTCTAGGCTTAGGCTGAATCACAGTAAGTCAGTGGTTCACAACCTTCCTGATGCTGCTACTCTTTAAAACAGCTCCTCACGCGTGGTGACCCCCAGACATAAAATTCTCATTGCTACTTCAGAACTGTAATTTTGCTGCTATTATGAATCATATGATATGCAGGGTATCTGATATGCGAGCCCTGTGAGACACCCCCAAAGAGGTCTTGGCCCACAGGTTGAAATCTGCTGCAGTAAGGGGTGAAGACAAGATACTAAGCCAGCGGTGTGGCCTGGAGTTTCTGTTCTCCACTCCTCAGTGTCAGGAGCAAGGCCACCGCCCTCAGGGGCTTCCTTTCCAGAGAGATGGATGATAAACAAGGAAAGGGAACAAATGGAGTTTCTGTTCTCCCCTCCTCACAGTGTCAGGAGCAAGACCACTGCCCTCAGGGACTTCCTTTCCAGAGAGACAGATGATAAACAAGGAAAGGGAACAAATGGGTTAAATAGTGATTCTTACGTGGAGACATCTGTGACATTCAGGTAGAGGACAAGCAGGTGCTCAGCCCTAATCGTGCTACATGGCTACATGATGATACTCTGTCCTGGTGCCACAGGCTTGTCCCCAGAGCTTACTCCTCAGGGATATGGGTCCCAGAATTGAGCTGAGGTATGAGATGGGGACCACCGTGGCTCAGAACTTTGGGGTTGATTTATGGGCCCATTTTCTCCCCTCATTCTCTGTGCCTGTTGGTCTTGGCAGGTGATGGTTTGGAAGAGTAACTTTGATGTTGTTGACTGTGGAGACGTGAAGGTGCAGAGGCCTCCCCGCCTGGCCAGATCTGCTGGAAATCTGGTAAGTGGCTTAGCAGTCAGGGCTTGAGCCATGTGGCTCTGAGATGGTCACAGTGAGCAGCCCTGGGCTAGGAGAAAAGGAGGCCTGGAGACTTCTCTGTTATAAGAAAGGAACCCCGGGAAGGTCAAATAATACATTAGTGCCTTGACTCCAGTCTAGGAGTCAAGCTGCAGAGCAGCCGTGGTGTCCAGGGTCCTGGCCCTTTTGGTGGTGACTGCTGTCATGGTGCGTGCTGCTGTGAGAGTGAGGCCAAGGGTCCATCCTATGTCATGCCTTCTTGGATCACAGGACCCAAGTACATGGTTCCTCGAGGGCTCGGGACACAAAGCCTCTGCTGAGACAAATGGGAAAGACCCTGGTTTGGTTACTCTCAGTTCTTCTTTCTTGAACCATGGAGAGGAAGTTCCTCAGCCACAAACCATTTTTAGTACCTTTGTTGGTGAAAGGGCATTCAGGGTTCCTGAATAAAAGTAACAAATTTTGTAGAATAAATATTTGGGAGAAAAGTGATAACTCATAAAGGCTCATTAAGTAGACCCATATTCAGCTTTGGTTGAAATAAGTCAAGAATGTAATCCCAAAGGTTTAAGCTTCTTTGGCGACAGACTGTTGTAAATCTTTCTTCCCTGGACCTAAGCAGCACCATGGCCTTCCAAGCAGAAGGAAACTGGCCTGAACAACAGGAAGCCAGCGGCTTGTCCAAACCCCCAGCAAGTCAAGGCTGGGACTCAGAATAGAACCAGGAAGCCTCCTTGGTCTGCCCCAGGCTTACTGTGGCCCCACAGCTAAAGCTCTCCTAGGCACGCACGTGCCCAGTCTGTGCTAGAGCTGCTCCCAGAGTACACACATGCAGCTTCAGGTTTCCCCCAAGGTGCTCCCCTTCGGGCTGCCCCTGAGGCTGGCAGCTGTGTTTCTCCTGAGTGTTTGTTTGCTAATGAGCCCTGAGCTATAGGCTACTTGGAATTCTCTGGGTTGCACTGATGTTCCCCTTGCTGTTGATCCTTTTTTTTTTTCTTTTCTCTTTCCTTTCCTTTCTTTCCCTTCCCTTCCCTTTCCTCCCTCCTTCGCTCCTTTCTTTCTTGACAGCCCAGGCTGTGCTGGAATGCACTCTGTAGACCAGACTGCCCTTGAACTCACAGCAATCCATCTGCCTCCTGAGTGCTGGGATTAAAGGTGTGTGCCACCAGTGCCCAGCTTGCTGATTCCTTTTTCTACTAAAGGATCCTGTGTGGATCCTGCCCTTTGTCCTCTGCCTCCTGACTATTGGGCACTCACGGTGAGATCATTTCCCTTCTACTTCCATGTCATATATCTGTATACAGTTTTGTGAGTTTCTCTAAAATCTAGGAACCACAAATGAGAGAAAAAGTATGGTGGTTGCTTTCTGAGACTGGTTCGATTCAGTTGATACAGGCATCGCTGGTTGCGTTCACTTGCCTGTAAACTACAAGCTTCATTCCCTGTGTAATGTGGCTGTTGTGAATAGTGCTGTGATATGCTGACTCAGGGTTCCTCTAGCAAATACCCACCAGGTAGAGCTGGGCCACACAGGAGACCTACTGCTAGTTGTCTGAGATGCCTCCATGCTAACTTCCACAGTGCTTAGTGTTTTCATGTCCACCGACAGGGCATAGTGGTCCATTTTGTCAACATCCTTGCCAGCATTTATTGTTTGTTTGTTTCTTTTTTTTTTTTAAGATAATTGATTTATTCTTATTTTATGTACATTGGTGTTTTGCCTACTTGTATGTCTATGTGAGAGTGAGGGTGTTAGATATCGGAGGCACAGACAGTTGTGAGCTGCCATGTGGGTGCTGGGAATTGAACCCAGGTCCTCTGGAAGAGCAGGCAGTGCTCTTTCTTAACTGTTGAGCCGTCTCTCCTGCCTCTGTTGTTTGTTTCTTAACGGCTGCTATCCTAACTGGGCTGAGGTGGAATCTCAACGTTGTTTTGATGGCTAGTGAAGTTGTCTTTTTTTTTTTTTTCTTATAATTATTAGGAAAACAGCTTGGACAAGCTGCATGTTATCCCTTAGCCCCACTCAGAATAGAGGATGTATCACCTTTTCCCAGAGCTTCAGGGCCTAATTATGTGGGTAGAGGAAGCCAGCAGAACAGGATGGGGCATTGGCAGGTAAAGGGCTCAACAGGACTCAAGGCAAGGCCCATGTTGGTGCTATTGCTACAGTCCTACCAATGTTCTGCCTTACATGGGCCTCAAGCGGGGCACAGGATATGGCTCTGAACCCTGCTGGGTAGTCCTAGACAAAGCACCTCATCTCCCCAAGCCTCCGTTTTCTCAGTGGGTTCAGAGTACCTACAGGCTGATTATGAAGACTCCTGAAGTGATACAGTAATCTTAGAACCATTTTTGGTTGAGATAAGAACCGCTTGTTCTTTGTTCTAGAGCCTTGAGAGGATAGGTATTCTAGATTCCCACCCACACTCACTCCTAATGCTGCCTGAGAGGCTTCTCTGAAAGGGAAAAGAAAGAAGGCCAAGATATTGTAAAAATATATTTAAATTAATTTAAATATTAATTCTATATAATGTGATATGAATATGTAATGTATAAATGTATATTAACTTAAATATATATTAAAATTGACCATTTTGACTATTTTAGCCATGTCTCAATGTCTGTCTCAGTAAGCCATCAGCATCCAAATCACCTCTAGTTTTTCCGTCCTCCTAGGACGGAGACAGCTAGTTTTTGCAGAACTATGAGGCTAGGCTTTCTCCTGAGATAGGAAGGGTTGCTGGTTAGTATGTTCCCACCCTTCTTTCCAGACCTTCCCAGCACTCAGATCCCCTGCTCACCAGAGTGCTGTGCTCCTCTGGGGAGCCCAGGAGCATTTCTGTGCCCTGGGAACTGAGTCTGACAAGCTCCCACATTCCATTTTTGCCTGCATCCCATCCTTCCAGTAACTCTGGATTGCTTATCCTCGGCAATTCTTATTTAGTTAGGGGCCGGTAGTTATTTGAGTGCTTGCAGTCCTGTGACCCATGAGATCTTTAGTGGCATCCCTGGCTCCCTAGTTTTGATGACCAGAAATGTCTTCAGATATTATTGGGTGTCCCCAGTCTAGAATCATTGCAGAGCCTCCTTCTTCAGGAGGAGCCCAGAAAGAACAGAACATGGTGGGAGTGAGGTGGGGGCTGTGGGAGAAGAGTGGAGAGGGAATTCAGGGAGGCTGCTCTAGGAGCCCGCACAAGGGTGCCAACACTCGTCTGGGTTAGTTCTGGATTCCCACCAGGTATGGACCAGAGGGCTCAGATAGTTCCTGGTAGTCCATTTTGTAAGAATGCTGTTTGGCCTGCCAAGTTTCAGGGTCTCAGAGATGTTGCTAAACAATAAGAAAGGACTCTTCGCTTTTAGCAACTTGATTTTCTTCAGGTTGGAGCATGTGTCTTGCCTTTCCTGCCCAGAGGCTAACTGGCTTGCTGATAATACCCGATGAGAGATTTAGTGGCTTCACAGAGTGGTTTGACTTCTCAAAGAGCCCATGAGCACTGCAGCCATGGCCCAACTGTGCTGTGTATCTGATGCCCTTGCCCCTTCATCTCCATCTCCAAATTACCTTAGGCCCTGAAACAGGGTTGACGCTCCTGGGCATTTGGGGTTTTCAGGGAGTTTGTGGGACCAAGTATGGTGTGCAGCTTTTGACCATGTGCTTTCTCCATTGTGTCCATTGGAAGCCAGAGGGGCAAACCTTGCTGGGACCCTTTGCTGCTCCCCCACCAGCAGAGACAGCCCTGTGAGCCTATGGGGTCCCTTCACCCCCACCCCCCAGCCTGGGACCCCTCCTCTGACTGTGATGTTTCAGCTTTCAGATCTTGGAACGAAGACTGTCCTTAAACTCCAAGCAGAGCTCTGCTCACTGCAGAGCTATTTTCAACCTCTGGTTGAGATTCACAGCTTATTTTTAGGCACATTTCATGTTGAAAAGCAAAAGCCATTTCCCAGCCATTCAGAAAGAGAATAATGGGTGCCATTTTCCTTCTGTTCTTGGCTGAGTTGTCCAAAGGAGGGATTTCAGGGCTGGTGGCTGGAACACTCTCTGATTGGAAAGTTGGACACGAAGGATTCCAGGTCGTGCTGTGGGCTGAAAGTGGGCGGGCATCTCCATGCTCTCCCCTGAAAGGAGGTGGGGAGGGTTGCTTTGGGGCAGATGAGTGCCTCCTAGAGGGGTATGGGGTATGGCTGAGTACCTCAAAGGGCTTCTCTGTAGCAGATGCTTGTACTGGTGTTTCAGGGGTCTACTGTTTAGTCTTGTCTCCAGCTGCAGCCCTGGCCTTCTGCCCACTGTTCTTACCCTCCTGCTGTCTGTCTCTTAGGCAGAAGGACCCTGGATGTTAGAGTAGCATCTTGCCCATCCCAAATCACAGCTTCTCAGGACAGATTTCTACCCCAGCTGCAGAAGTACTTTTTTTGGTTTTCAGGACAGGATTTCTCTGTATTGCTTTGGAGCCTGTCCCTGGAACTAGTTCTGTAGGCCAGGCAGGTCTTGAACTCACAAGAGATTCCCCCATCCTCTGCCTCCTGAGTGCTGGGATTAAAGGCGTGTGCCACCAAAGCCCGGCCTTTTAAACTTTTTTTTTTTTAATTTTGGACAAGGTCTCACTATGTAGACCAGGGTGACTTTGAACTCAGATCTGCCTGCCTCTGCCTTCTTGCTGGGATTAAAGGTATGCCCAGCTCATTAAGCTACTTCTAATTAACAAAGGTGCATTATTTGGAGCTACTCTTATTTTTGCCATAGACAGAGGCCCATTATGCAATTGAGAAGGTTGTACTAGTTGGGGAGGGAAGAAGAACACAAAGTTCTAGGTAATTCAATGAAACTGACAGGGAAGGAAAAAAAAAGAAAAGAAAAACAAAAAAAAAAAAACAAAAACCGACCCACTTCCTGAGTTCTCAGGGCTGGCTGCTCCGGTTTAGACACTAACCTTGATCTCTGGGGTTGAGGGCTTTCTCTGCTCACTTCTCAGTATTGCATT